GTTCGTTCTAAACTGGGTTCGAAATTCAAAAAATGTAAATACATAGTGCCATTGACAAGCATAACCTTTTTAATATTTCTCATTAATTTTATTTAAACGTAGATTTACATTTTTACTATCATTATCATTTTGTGATACACTGTGTCATGTATTTTTTTAAATTAAGAAACAATAACGAAACTTATGTATCTGTACATTTATGTTCCGCATGAACAAATTAATAAATAAACCTTGTAACCGAACATTTGTAAGTAAACCCGAATAAAATGTAAAGACTAATCTAAATACACAAGTCACCAGTCATCAGCACGCAAAATCATTGACAAAATGTCTACAATTCCCACCTCATCGTACGCCAAAAAGTAACCAGTATTTAATTCCACCCAATTTTTACAATCACCTATTGGAACTTCCCTTATTGATCTAACTAGGCAGGCGGTTAGTGTTAATAACAGTGTTTAAAACTAACCCTAGACCAAACCGTGTTATTATCTGTGAACTGCTTATTAAATTCTGTGAGAATCTGTCAGATGTCGGTTTACTAGCAAATAGGTAGGTATTGTCTGTTCGTTATTTTACAAATGATTTATCAAGGCCCAAAAAGTGGCAGTTTGTTTTACAATGTTCATTAGATTGGTTTTCATATCAAGAAAAAACTTTTAACAAGTTTTAAGTCTAACGTGAATTTTAGATTACTTATGAAATTTTGTTTCACAAATTTTCAAATTATTATAACATGGAAAGTTGGATAGCAGTACGGAAATTGTATCAGCATGGCAAGCTAAAATAAAACCAGATAACTGTCTGAACTGTAAAACGCCAACATTTCTCGTGGAACACCTTTATTTTGAGAATAAACATAATAGAAATATATATTCAGAATGTCAAGCGTTCATCAAGTTGATTGACGGTAGGTAAGGCATGTAATACGGGGAACTAACTTAAGTAAATATTATATTTTCTACAAACATTTTCCTTCAAAACCTTCGTTCGTATACGATGAAAAAACAACTTTTTTCTCGGTAAGAACACAAAGAAACGTTACATTATTAATATTCTACTTGTTTTTGTTTAATTTCAATTAAATTTTGGAAAAGTCTAATATTGACGTAGAGTAATTAATTCTATATTTTTCCACTATAACAATGTTTCGCGCGAAAACCAATCTCATTTTTACAATTTTTATATTGCAACCCCGAGAGTTGAAATTCGGTCGCTGTCACAACAATATGGCAGCTGCAGTGAACTGTCAAAAAGCGCGCGAGATGAATGCCAGCCGATACATGGCATGTGCCGAGAATGATTTGTGGCGTACTTGCCAAATATATGAACGTGGCCGTGCTAAAAATATTGATTTATTCTCAGTTTATTCACAATTTTCGAATAATATTCAATAAAATCCAGTATTGAACATCACACTTGCCACAAGTTATAAAATTCTTTTCCCTAAAAATTGTTATCGACCCGCTAGCATCAATACTGAAAGTATGTAAGTTAGAATAAGTAAATTCAATTAAATATAACGTGGCTATACCACCTCATTCAGGTTCCAAAGCCACTTATCTAAGTTTGCGTTCTACAGACCTTACTCAAAGACCAATCAATGTATATTGTCAATATTAAAAACAAAACAAAACAGCTAACTTAAATCGGGCCCTTAAAAAGCTGACAGTAAAAAGATCAGACATTTTCCTGTTCGCTGTGCCCATAAAATAGTTTTCTCCCTGTACAAATACAACATATGACATTGTATAAAAAAAGTAAATCCGAGAGGTGATGTCAAGAGTGACCTGTGAGCGGATTACACCTGTAAGCCCCTCAAGTATCGTGGCTTCAAAGCCCGACTTATGGACCTCTTGTGGAGGTTTTATGAGCTATACTCTCTATATAATTAGTACGTTATTTTAAGGAGAAACTGACTAATGTGGAGGATTAGTCTGTAGTGTTCAAAGGTATGATTTGTGGCGGCTCTGTTTGTCTTTATGGTGAACTAATATTTTTGTTAGGATTATAAGGAATGTAATGTTTCAACCGGAGTAATACTACGGCCTTACAGAAAACCGGCGTATTATAACACAGTGCGTTGGGTTTCCGTGTGAGTGAGGTTACCGGAGGCCCAATCCTTCCCCTCCCCAATGCCTACGCACTCATGCACTCATAACTGCTTTGTTGTTGCGGGTTTCTATGGGCGGCGCTGATTGCTTACCATCAGGTAATCCATTTGCTCATTTGCCGACCTGTCACATAATTTTTTTTTAATAATTCCTACAATATAATTATTCGTGTGTTAACAAACCTATTAAGTGCTCGTCTGTGAAATTACCGTCATTCCTATAATACATCATACACTTAATAAATGACGGTCTAAAAAAGAATGCCGCGAAATAATATTAGATAACGTCAAAAATATTCCCCAAATTTGAAGCCCACGGCAACATTCTCAAAAAAACAACAGTCAAAACTATGGAGCGTATATTCCCTGCTTCCCCGCTAGCCAGGTGAGGTGTCAAGGGAAATTCACTTGATTGCACTCGTTCCTGCCCCACACACGATGCATTCTGATTTCAGCTAGTTCTTTGTGGACTCACTTTTGTTTGGTATCTTTTTAGTCGCTCTTTCTAACGTTATTGTTTTAAAATCCGTTCATTTAAGTACTTCGTTTTGATTAAATTGGTTTAGTGACTGGACTGTTTCGCTGATACAAGATGAACGGTTATCCAAATTAGTTTTTAGTTACAAGAATGTAATATTTGAGAATATATTGGCTTATTTAGCTCATCCTTTGCTTATATTCATGAAAGAACTGAAAAAAAGTCAATAAATACGAATAATTTAGTATCTAAAATAAATAATTTAGGGTCTCATATTGATAGCAAAATGGATTCCCGTATTTTTTTTTTCTTAAAACAATACTTATATAATAAAAATGTAATATTTTTATCAACACAATTTATTGTTCAATCAACCACGGCATTGCGTCCTAAAACTGTAACAGTTAACACAAATAATGAAGAACTTTCTTTGTAATTACAAATAACTAATTACATATCCTTGACATCTTACACGCTGGCACTGGCACTGTTGAAACTCATCAATAATAACTAGTAGAGTATTACTAACGTACAGCCGGTCGAGCGTAAACCAGACTACGCCAAGGGATTTCATAACAAATTTACAATTAATTGATTGTGTTCTGTTGACGACATTAGGCAAGGAGTTAGTCTTTGTTTGGCAGTGGGTGTCTTCGAATTAAAGCATGATGACGATGATGATTTTACTAGCTGCCTAATTCAAATTACATTTTTGCTAGAAAATTTCTCATTTTTCTCAACAGATGGAGCTAGTATCTACCTAGCATCTTTACGCCCAATAGGGAATTAGCTATTGCCACATACATCATTAGTCTTTCAATTATTGATAGCTAGTGTGATACGAGTCAGTGATCTCTTGTTCAATTAACGCCATCTAGTGTTAAAACGCGGTACACTACTTAGGTAAGCTGTAAAACATATAAAGGACTGTCATGGCATGAAAGATTATTATTTTAAAAATCGATTTGGCAATACACTTACCCTCTATGTGTTGAACAACTTGATTTATGAGGAATACCGTGTAACCAGTGCTTGAAGGACATTTGTTGGTTCATATGTAGTAGGTTATCATTTGCAATTTACGGTTTAGGCGCCTTCTAACCTATCATTAAGGGAAATACAAGGCTAAACGCTACCTGAAACGTTTTGAACTTGAACCCAGGGTCGCTTATTGTACACAAAAGTAATATCCATTTAATTGAAGTAAATATTTTTTTTGGAAGTAGGAGAATGCACGATGATACCAGTAAAAAGTATTCTGAGCAGAAATTGCCGATCAGGTGAAATATTATTTAGGGTCATATTAGGTAATTAATGACATATTAATATAAGTATATTAATTGAAGGAAGGGCAGATACAAATGTTAGAGAAGTGATTTGTACGTAAATAGAAGAATCTCTTCACTAGATTCAGAATCGGACAGCAAGTGTGCCTATGACCTTTCTATAAGAATGGAGTTTTTTTATAATAACATCTATTATCTATATATACATATATGTATATAAGTACATGAATAGGAAAATTTGTTGGTGAGCACATAACTCAATAACGCCTAGACCAATTTTGACAATTCGTTCTTTGTAGTGTTTGTTATTGTCAAGAGAAAGATTTGAAGACGGAAAATAAAAAATTCAGGTCAAAATTGGAAAAAAAATCGTGAAAATAGAGATCCGTGCGAAGATGGGCGATGGGCGCAAGTTAAAAATAAAAATATAAATTCATAATAATAATAGTAATGAGCACCTTAACCTCTTTCGGCGAAATAACAATAAATATTCTATTACACTAACCTTTATTAAACATTCTTACAACTGGCAGTAATAATTCAAATAATCTAGTTCTGGTCTTATTTGGGTTCGATCATAAAAATCATACGAAATACACGATAATTCCATTATAACTATCAATCACTAATATTGGCATTAAATTCTGCGCACGAGTTTATGCGTCGCGTGACGAATTCTGTTACGGCATTTTTTTAGTTACAATTATTAAACAATATTATCTAATACTAGCTAATCTCGCGCGGTTCACCCGCTGTTATGCCCGTTCAGATTGTAGCGGGATGTTTTATAGCTTAAAGCCTTCCTCGGTAAATGGACTAACCAACACAAAAGGAATTGTTTATTTCGAACATAAGCGCGTTCTAACAAACTAACTCTCCAGCTTTTTAATATTAGTAAGTATATACATATATATGTAGATGTAAAATGTGTAATTGCGTGACCTTTTTTATTTTCATATTAATAAAAGGAAAAACCTGAAAACCTGCTTAAAGGTTGCATCTGGTAATTTCTAAAGTCATACAAGTTACATAGACAAGTGAATCAGGAACCGTAACGGTGGCAGGAGCTTGCACAACCGCTGTGCATATTAACGGGTGCGCACGCGCATCAAACACAGTGACACGCCAATCGCCACGCCAATATGATTCGCAACATTGCTGTGAGTATTTATTTATTATTTATTGTTTATTTTTTTTTATATATAAAATATATTTTTGTCAGAATTGCGTGATTTTAGTTTTAATTAAAGAAAAATTAAAAAATACTATATATTGGATCAAGGAATTTAATTGTAATTAAAAGTGAAAGTGTAATTAAAAGTTTGTCGGTAAACATTAGTGTGTAAAATTAAAATTTGTAAATATCGTAATCACTTAACAGTCTGATGTTTTTATAAAAAAAATATTCAAAATAAGTTGTTATATTTAAATTTTCTCGCATTAAGATACTACATACATATGTATGTACAACTTTTACATAATACTTCATTTAATTTAAAAACAAACAAGGTGGACATTGGTATTTTCTCCGCTGTCATGAGTTCGGTACCGAATACGTGATTTGTAGATCGCATAAAAAATAATCTAGTAGTTACAAATGTAATCATTACACTTATTTTACTTTCGTTGTGTAATTTAATTAATTAGGTAGTTAATATTATTTTTTTGTGTATAATTTAACAAATATAAAGTATGATAGGGTTGACCTGACTAGATAATAAACCTCTTATGGAAAATAAATAAAGATTATAAAGAAACCTATTTCAAAATTACACATTTTAATGACGCCTGTTTTTCTTTGCATTTCAGTTGACCCTGGCCGTAGTGGTTGCAAGCCATATGTGCTTAGCGAACCCCGTACCAGAACCAGACCCTGTTCACAGAACACAGTAAGTAAAGTGCAAATACCTAATTAATTTCTAAAAATGTTAACATTTGAAGAATAATTAAAAACCTTTGAGTACTTATATTTTGTACTAAGAAGATAGCTACTTGATTTCTTTACTATTAAACGTACGTTTATAAAGTAAATATACCTAAACCTTAAACCGCATTAAAATGCGTTGCGTTGTTACAAAGACTTAAGCATACATAGGGATAGAAAAAGACAGAGTAAGCGACTTTGTTTTATAAGTACCATGTAGTTATTAAATAATGTCTGTTTTGTGAAACATTTGAATATGTTTCCAATAGTCTGAATGACGAATAATATGACGATGACTACACCACTGTGACTGCTGATATTATACAAAAAATATATCGTATAGGCTTCCACTGCTGGGCGTCACCGTTACTGTGGTCTTGGGTCAAATAATGGAGTGTTGTAAACCACGTCAGTTTTTTTTGTTTTTGTACTAGCCAAAATTACAGGACCCCTTTGAATACACCGTCGAAGAGTCTTAATACAACGTCCTTTATAGAAAGACATGTTTTAGTTAGTCAGAATCAGTCAATATTTCTAACTAGTACCCCGTTTCGGCTTCGCTTGTTTAATAGAATGACATTATACATATATAAACCTTCCTCTTTAGTCATTTTATTTGTTAAAACAACCGCATCAAAATCTGTTGCGTAGTTTTAAGGATTTAAGCATACATAATATGTACTTACTTAGGGATTTAGGGACAGAGAAAATGACTTTATTTTATATAATGTAGTGATGACCCAAACAAGCAACTCAACCAAAAACGCCTTTCTAAGAACAAAACAAAATCCCTAAACACGGTACATTGAGTTAATAACACTCATTTCCTTACAATTATTACTCTGGCTTAGATTTCCTATCTTGGTGATAGCATAGATAATATCTTACGCTGTCTATCCATCAGATTTATTGCCAACATAACTGTTAATGGCAACTGTGACATGAAATATGTACTGTCCACACTAATGTACGTGTGTTTATATAGATAGGTATATATGTATATGTACAGCTCATATTGTGGCCTTAATGATGACGTCATGATTAAGATACGTTGTGTGTTACCTTCGATTTGGTTTACCAAAAGTCTTTATATTTGGAACTGAAATATGAAGCCTTAGATTCCATTTTTAAGTAATTAAGTTTAAGTTTTTTTATTAAAAAGTCGAGCCAAGTGCAACCTTATCAAAATAGGTGTTTATATGAACTACTCGTATATCTGTATCTATAAATACTAAAACATGTCATAAATCTGAAGTATTTTAACGCGGAAATGTATAACACTGATAATACGAATTGAATAAATATTTTTATGTTTTAAATAGTCTGTCAGGTTGTACACTGCAAGGAGATGAAAACCACCCGAAAGGAGAAATGTAAAAAAATATCAAGTATATATTTGTGCAGAGAAAAATAGATACTTTTTATATCCATGCAAAGAATTAACAAATGAATATTTTATTTTATTTAAATTTGACTGAGCACTAGACTACCCAAGCCAGCATTTCTTTTACCAATTTTCACCCAAAGTTTATATGGAAGAAATATCCTTGTGTGAGAACCACCCATTGTAATTAAAACATTGTTTTATTGTATCTAACATGTTTCTGCTTAGAATATGTGTATATAAAAGTATTCATAAATATATAAATAAGAAACTCCATTTACAAATGCTTATACGTCTATGAATGAAACTAAACTAATATTTTGTTTTGTTTGGTTACAGCGTGAGAATTCACGTGCCATATGAAGTCCATAGCGTACACCACCACCACGTTGAAACCGTTCCTGTGATCAAAGAGGTCCCTGTGGTCAAACATGTACCTGTCATCAAAGAGGTCCCGATCATCAAAACCCTGCCTGTAGTCCAAACTGTTCATGTACCAGTTCATCATACTGTGCATGTTGAAAAACCAGTATTCGTGCCCATCAAAGAACACATATCGTTCTCCTCCTGGCATTGATAGACTGACAATAAAACCTCTTTATTTGTAGTAATAATGGGAATTTTATAAACAATATTATTATATTATATTTTTTACCAAAAAAAATACGATGTTTCTGTTGTGAAAATTCATGTGATTGTTATTGTCATTCAATTGTATACCTCTTTGTACTAGTATTAGAGTTTATTTTGATCTAAAGTCTGATTATTATCTTAGATTTTGTAATATAAAAATGGAATTTCTTTTTAAATTGACTAAAAGCGAATGTCATATCATTTTTCAAGTGACAACACTAAATAGTTTTGTACGCTATTGTCATTGGCTTAAAGGACTCGAATCCAGGCCATAAACTCCAATAAAAAAAATACGCTATTGTCACTAAAAATGATTAAAAAGATATTTCATTTATGTGTACTTATAGCCTGTATATTTCTGTAAATGTGTGATAGTTACCATACTTTAAGTTAAACTTAATAAGTAGGTAAGCAAATGAATAAACCATTTACTAACTCAGAGCTGAGAAGCGTCTAATTTACTTTATCATTCACGATGTAACAGCAAACGTGTTAACGGTAAAATTAGTATTTAGTTAATCGACTAAGCTTTGTAATGCATACTAAGTCCTACTAATATTATAAAAGCAATTGCATGTAAGTATAGATGGATGCTTGTTACTATTTAACGTAAAAACTACTGAACAGGCAGAAATGAAAATGAGGCTGACTTTCACTTGTAAGTACCTAATACAAAAAAAAACTTTTCCATATTTAACTGGTATATAAGTAAAAAGGAACGAAACTGTCACTATTAAACTTTGAAATTCATACTTTAAGATATTGAAATCTAAATAGTTTCTAACTGACATCGCTCGCGGTACCAGGCTAAAAAGTAAAATGTGAAAGAGTGACAAACATCGATCCATACAAACTTTCGCGCTTATAATATTAGTAGGATTATAATGCAAAATGCAGCTCATGATATAATTAATTTAAATAAGGGTTAACGAAGTGCACTAGTCTGTAACAACATCAAAAATGTCGGGTAACAAATGAGTTTAATTAAGCCGTGTATCTTGTACTGTCGACCGCCATTTTAATTGAACGAGTGAACGAATGAACTATCGAATGTTATTACGTAACGTAAATAATATTAGCATTAGCGATTATTCGATGTTTGTCACAATTTTTTGTGTGCGATTTAACAGAATAGAGTTCTTTTTTCGAAAATTCATTTTGAAGTATCAAATCATTTATTTTATTGTAGTGTCGCGCACATTTTAGTCTTTATCTAGTCGTTTTAAAGTATATATTACATTATCTACATCAATGTCAGTCATGAGTCATGAGCAAATTTACTAAAATTTAATAATTTGAAATTGTATATCCATTATTTCTGCAAATTATGTACCAACGTCAGAGATAACATGTAAATTCATTTCGTTAAATTAATACTCTTCTATATCACAAATTGAGATTTGAATAACTCTTCTGTGATTAAACCTTCTTCCTTTTACCGTTCGTTTCCCATAGAATTGACATTTTCTTACACTTCAGCCAAATCGGTTGAAATAAAATTTATTAAATTACTACAAAAAAGACCAACCAGGTACTACAATTTTAAACAATACCAAACACATAGATATGATTTGAATTCCAAACTACATATAAAGTCATTATTTACCAAAATAAACCAACGCCTACTCAAAACGTCACAACTTTAGTACCTAACCATTATTACACGTTGAAACAAATTTTAACCACAAAACAGTAGCAAAACAAACGCAAAAAGTCATTTCACTCCCACAGGATGAGTTCCAGCTTAACTACGAGTTTCACATAAATATAAACGACTGTTTACTTTCGACACGGATTCATAAGTAAATGGAGGAATCAGTTACTATTATCATCACTTGACAAAGGCGGCTTCCTTAAATCAGAGATGGTATTGAGTAGTCAATATGTAGATATATACATTTAAGTAATCAATAATAGGTCCTTTCAATCAAATCAATAGATCCAATGTGCCTAAATACAGAATTGATAATAATCGTGATTACGAGTGCCAGCTTAATAATGTCTCCGGCCTGGAGAAGGAGAAGGAACTAGATGGTTTTAGTCAATAAAAGTCTGGCAATCCCTCTTGCCCCATCCAGGCTGGGAAAAACAATTTGATAATTGTCTTTCTTTCAAAAAATTGGTTATGAATATAAAACAAGAGATGAGGTTGGGATCCTAAAGTTGTAAACCTATAAAATGTGCCTTGTGTAACAAAATCAACAAACAAAAAATTTTAATTCTACAAGATTTAAACTAGGTACTTATAGAGCAATAGGCTAAATAAAAGCAAGCTAAAACAATGTGTCAATTTACAACTAAAGTAAAATAAAATTAACTGAGAATGTATAGGTGATGTCAAAAAAAAAAGTAATTGATCCGCGCACTCCATTTAGTAGCTACTCCGTGGTTAGTAAGGTTCATTGTTTGAACGCGTTATCGTCGCTCACAGTGTATCGGTATGTCAGCCATTGAAGCCTTGTCTGGCTGTAAACTCATCGCGAACTATCGGCAAGTCTGGCCTTTTGTTTAACATTCATCAAACAATAGAAAGGTTACATCAATGTCGATAATGATATTTTAATAGCAAATTGACAATGGGATCTAATAAAGGGCTATACATGTTACTGTATTATATCAAGTAACTATGAGATTTTTTTTACATAAAGCTAAATAGGATTGAGTGAAAAAATATCTTCAGAGAGTATCTTCTTGATTCACCATACTTCAAGCGAACGCTGGCGTTCACGCATCTATTATAATCGTTCCTTTATTGTGTCTCTAATTTCCATGGTTGAAAGGAAATTAAAAAAAAAACGTGTAAAATAGACGGTCTCATCGCTAAATACGATAATAGGAATTTGAGTATAGGTTTTCAACTTAATTTCAGTTAAAAGTGGGAGCAAAATTGATGACCTATCCTGATGGTAAGCAACAGCGCCGCCCATTGGCACTCGTCATAACACCAGTAACACCAGAAAAGCTGCAAATGCGTGCCTGGCCTTTTGGAAACTGAAGATAGAGTGGGGTAAGGTTTGGAGCTCCAATACCCTCACAACACAACGCCTTTGTTGTTTCACGCCTGTTTTCTGTAATACTGCGGCATCACTCCACTCGAACCAGCCCGATTGTGCTGAAGCATGGCTGACTCTACCACGATTGATCCAACTAGACCTTTTAAAATTCAGATTAATACCATTTCTAATATCAGTTCACATTTTACGTTTTTAATAGCACTAATAACAATTCCTTTTTACAGTAGATACTAGAAACAAATGCTTTACAAATACATGTAAATGGACCAAACGGTTAAGTCTACTGGTTCAGTTAACTTAACCGAGTTTGTTAACAGTTGATTACGACCCGATTAGTGTTAGAGTAAGCTCAGTTAGCGGTAGAATTGTGGTTATGATATCTGAAAGTAAATGCTATATTTTAACTAGGATTATTGCTGTCTGGTTTAAAATTATATTTATCTGTTCTGGGACTTGAATTTAAGTTGCTGCTAGGTAAATTTTGTGAAATAATAATGCAAAGTTAACCAGGGCCAGTAGTAAAGCGGTTCGGTGGCACCGGGCCCTATTACTTTGGGAGCGCCAAAACCAACCAAAATATATGTGACAAAAGACGTTTTAATTTAGAAGGAAGCCATTTTTATTTTATAAGTTAATAGCCCGAACCGACGCACGCCAGTAACTTAATTTTGAGGCTTTGATGATAACCCTGTTGCTTTTTTATGTTAAAACTACACATTTCCGCACCTTCTATCCGAAAACGGTTACAGGACGATTTTTATGTGATAGATTGGCAAACGACCTTTTCGATTGCCTGATGGTAAGAAATCGGCAACGCCCACGGATACCCGCTATAACATAGGAGATTGGAGAGAGGTAAGATTCGGCAAAAGAATTGAATTAGTACAACAACATAACCCTACAACATAATAAAGAAATAACACTTTCAATTACAACGAAAGAGGCTAGTAGTGAGTAGTAAACATTCAGATTAAAAAAGCAAAACAACACAAATCAAAAAAAGAACACCAATATAAAGCTGTAAACACACAATTAAACGCTCACTTATCCCACTTACAATTTTATGGCAAATTAATTCTTTTCGCAAAGTCATGTGCACTTGTTACTGATAATTATATCGCACATGAACACGGCTCTTGACTCTTGACTGCAATGATAACGTGACAGTACAAATTGAGATGCCAATTTAAATCGCAATTCGCTGAACAATGCCGTTAATGTTGCCAGTTAATGGGGTTTTGTAATGCTGCCGCGCTTTTTTTTGTTGGCAAGGTTGGAATTTTATTATCTGTTCAAGTTAGTTTACCGGTGGCAGCTTGTTAGAGAGTAAAATAAGCGACAACGTTGATGAAAAATATCGCCGTCACTGGTTTACCAATGTCAATAACAAATTAGTGTCCACTGCTGAAAAAGGCCTTTTCTCACACGAGGAAAGTTTGAGCATCTATCACCATCCTTGTTGAAGGTTGATTGGCGATTTTAAACCAATCATTAGTAATTTTAAGTCCCGGCTTCCTTGTAATCACGGAAAACAATTTTAGCCGGGGTTTGCGGAGCTAGCGCATTAAGATAACATGGCCTGGGCCATCAGTAAGATTCTGACACTTCCTCTCGCCTCACCTTGGGCGTGAGAAGAGATGCGATTATTGTCCCCTCACGTTGCTCATTATGATGTTCGGTCACCGTTTGTCAGTAAAAAAGTGTCTAAATAATCTGCGAAGCAAGTGCCTCTAGGCCACCACGACAACCTAATAAACTAGTAAATACTTGGTACTAATTGAAAGTACCTATGTTAAAATTATTCGGGCTCGATCATGATCTCCGATTAACTGACCACAGAATTCTAGCGGTTAGATTTAGTTCGATTAAACTGTACAAGAGTTAATGGACCATAGGCTCCAAAGAGGATTATGCTAGTTTATACGTTACACATGTTATGATC